TTCATAAATCCAGGTTAGTTTCTTAGTTTTTTGCTATTTAACCAGCTTTTTAAAAATCTCCCTTGTACTGCCTTGTCTTTAACAATACTCTAAAAAATAATCTAAAAAATAATCTTTGTTTACTGTCTAAATATTTGTTAGGTACATTTGACTTTCTGATTTTTCTTTACAGGTTCCTCCTGAATTTGATTTCTCTGCTCACAAATATTTTCCTGTTGTGAAACTTGTTTGAGACTGACAGGTGACCATAAAAGGGTAAAATCTACTTTCAGATTCTACTTTTTAGGACCCACCCATCAGTCTTACCATATAACATGAAGTGAAATGGATTTCTTGGATAACCACCCATTATAAGGAATTCTTTTAATTTGACAGCCTTATATGATGTGAATGAAAACTGCTGTTTTAAAGTGGTTTATTATGTCCGTGGATGAAACTGATGTTGTTGAATGCATTGATGAACGTTATATGGTCTTATTACAGATTTAATCATAAATCATTTTTTATGAATGACTGAGTGAAAATAGTGTTTGTAAAGGTAAATAAATTTGACCAAAATGTATTACTGGAGATAAAAAAATAGTACTTTGTTGGTACATGTTAAGAGCTGAAGGTGTTTACTCTTTAACATTTGAGTAATTGAAACAACTTATCTAAAAGATGTTTCAAATCAAGTGATTTAGGCAAAATACATTTGAACGGGGCCTAGTCTAAGCTATGTAGGGAGGCTATTATATGGGCATTATGATTCCATGTCATGACATTAAATTATATACCTGTAAGAATGTAGATGTTTTTAAAAATGTCCTTAACTATTACTTTGGTACTTTTAAAAGATTAAAGTTTAGGCCAAGCCCCTTAAAAGTACTTAGCACTTTCAGTTGTAATTTAAATAGTTGTTTCTATCTTCCCAACTGTAGTATAAGCTTGAGGAAAGTGACAATCTTTCTAGAACCTGCTCATTCAATTAATGGAATATGGAATTTTTAAATGTGGCATTGAGCTATTCTGGGGTAAACTGAGAAGGTAAAAAAGGTCACTAGGGCAATAGGTTGACTGCCTTTTTTTAGTAAAAGAAACACTGATGGTGGGAACAGGATGGATAGAAGGGCAGAGAAATTTGGAGTAGCAAGTTGGGGTCTGGTCCTTGCATTTAAACAGTTTGCTTCAGCAGATAAAAGTTGATTCATTTGTCGGGTATTTACAAATCAATCCAAGCACACAAGTTGGTATATCAGATACATCCAAATCATAAGGAGAGTAGGGAATCAGAACTGGTTGCTTTTGCTTATAATAAGGAGCCATAAAATAAAACTTGAGATGACTGAATATTTGTGTCATCCTACAGCTGCCCAAAGAGTTTTAAAATTGATTTTGAAGAGATGAAATGACCTGAGATACTGAACCAGAAAGAGTATAAGGTTTTTTTCCTGTAGTCCTCTGCTAATAATGCCTTCCATTTAAGAAGAGAATTTATCTGCTTTTGGAGGATCATGTAAAGTTATTGCACAACTCTGAAACCTTCTGTCTACAATTCAAACATTAAGCCAAGCTTAAAGGAAGGTGTTGTACTTCGTTTTGATCACAGATATGTCATCTGTTGAGTCCTAGAATAATTTTGTAATGAGCCTATCTCAAAAACCAGAGCAGGATTGTCCTTTACAGGAAAACAAACAAAAAAACAACCCTGTCAGTTGTAGGCTGCTGGTTGAAATCACAGAACTACTTTTTTAAATGGTACAAAAATGTTAAATGTTGATGATACAGCAGCTTTTTTGGAGAGAGAGTGAAAATGTTGAGGTGACTATTTAAATGTGAACTTAAATTCTGGATAAAGGCAGATGTGGCACATCACCCTGGAGGTTCCATCACTGTCATTCACTACAGTTTTCAGAGACATTTTAGTAAGAAGCAAGCTACCAACACAGACTCTGGCTTACCTCTTACAGCCAAATGGGTTTTCATCTTAATTCCCATGTGTTTAACATTCATACAAAAAGCCATCTATTCATTTAAATGTTTCTAACAGGCAACTTTCAGTTAATATGAAAAGTAGGTCATCTAGGTCATCGCTGATCAATCACAATCATTTATTTGGACTTAAGAGTAAAATATTTACTAAGCACCCAGCATAGTACTAGAATCTCTAGGGGTGTAAATTATATTGGCAACTTATATTCAATGTCACTCAGTTCACGAGTAAGAATAGAAAATAAGCATTTGTCTCAATTGATTAGGGCCTTGGTTTGTAAAACCCATTATATGAAGTGTATAGTTTAAAGATAATATCAAAAGCCAGTTAACTTTTCCCAGAGATGCACACCAGTGAGATTAAAGCCTTTCAGTTGTGTGTGTTTTAAGTGCATGGGAAGATACGTATTTTAGAATAATCTTTCAGTGTATACATTATCAGAATTTTACAAACCAGTTTTTAAGGAACAGTGGCTTAGTACACTTTAAGAAAGTGTTGCTCGCTGAGCTGAGAAATAGCATACAAACAAACATTTAAATACACAATCAAAATAAACTTTTCCCAACTTTCAGGCACTAATGAACATTTTCAACATCTAAGCTAATATGTGCAAAAAGGAAGTTAATATAACCCAGTTAATAGAACCTCTGCCATTAAAAAATTTTTCTAAAATCCATTTCAAAGACAAGTGTTAGAATAACTATTTGTAGTTAATAATCTTTTAGGCTAAAACATAATGGTAGTAAAACTAACCACCAGGACCATGAATTCACAATTTTCTTCACCATGCCAGGTTCTATGAATGGATAACCAGCAATTACCAATTAAAACAATCATGCTAATTATCTAGTTATTTAATGACGACGTACTGACTTAACAGGGAGAGGTTTATTTCTCAAGCTTCATCACACAAAAGTACACACTAGGTGTGTGCTGTGATTAGATTCCTCGGGAAATCTAAGTCTAATCCAAGGTTGCTTAGAATCTCCACCTGCAGTCTGATCTGCAGGAGAAAAGATAAAACGATTCATCTTTCCTGCCCACACACCATTTGAGAATAGAGAGGGCAGGTGTCAATTAGTTGATGCCAATTAGAGATAAGAATAACTGCTGATTTAATTTGGATGCTTATTACACAGGTGTGTGTTTAGTTTTTTAACAGCCATAATACCTCTAAATTGTGCTTCGGGCTAGGTGCTTGTGATCCCACAGGAAGCCAGTAATAATAAAGCATGACTGCCTGGAGAAACCACGCAGGGCACACCCCCTAAAGCAGTGGTTCTCAACCTTGGCTGCACATTAGAATCACCTGGGAATCTTTTTAAAACCCTGATTTCTGGGCCTCATCCTCTGGAAATTCTGTTTCTTTGTTATGGGGTGGGGCCACAACATTAGTAACAAAGAAACAATTTCCGGAGGTTGAGGCCCAGAAATCAGGATTTTAAAAAGATTTCCAGGTGATTCTAATGTGCAGCCAAGGTTGAGAACCACTGCCCTAAAGGAATGGCCTTGATGCCTCTGTAAATGAAGATGAAATCATCACGGGTTACTTTTTATTTATATTGATATCTCGTCTCCACAACTTAAAAGCTGGTTCTTTAGCGATCAAATAAGGGATGAAAGGAAAACTGAAAGTTTTAAAAGCTGGACTAACAGTATTTCATTTCTCAGCAACTCTGTGCACACTAACTAAACATGAGATGAATTAACTATTTGGGAAATCAAGCCTAAGACTAAGGGAGGTGGGACAAGGACTTAGATAAAATCTTATAGAGCTCCTTTTATACTCTTAGATGCCTTTTCTGGGTGGAAAAGTTCAGTCTTTGCAATTAGGTAAAAGGGAATTATACATGAAGAACATCCAAGTTGTAGAGCTTAACCTGAAGGCAAAGCAGGTGCTGCCTCAGTGACTGCCAGGGGCACAGCTAGTCACCCTGGGTGTGAGGCCAAGTTATGCTCCAACTCCTCTGGGCCAGTTTCCTCTCAAAACAAGGGAGTCCCACCAGATGACCCAAGGAGACTGCATCTCAATCCTGTAACTCCAAATATATTTTAGTGAGCGCACCACCCACTTAACTGCTTAGAGAGCCTCACTGAAAGCCATTGGTGTGGTTTTGCCAGTTATTCACAAGTGGCAAAAGCCTATTTTCCTGAAATATTAAGGATCAACTAAAACCAAAACTATTATCAATGTAAATTATGATTAGTCATTTTCAAATGAACATTAACTTTTGATTTTTAAATCAGTTTTGATAGGCATTTACCACAAGCTAAATATGTAAACTATGACACAATGCCATTTCTCTTCCCTTTCTAATATTTCCCAACTTATAACAGTATACTGTTCAACACCAACTTTCTCTTTTCCTCCAGCAAAGTAGGCAGTTTGTCCACAACAAACCCTCCCCATGGTGCTGTGTCGCCCTCGGGCACCCGGGTCACCTCTGCTCTGGCCCCTGTTGTGTCAAGTCTAATCCACTCATAGCTTTTTTTGGTGATGCCCACTCATTACAGAAGATCCTGCTTTGCCTACAAACATTAGCAAAGTAAGTACAGATCACCAGTTTTCACATTAGAAGCCACTTAACATTAACAACAAGGGCTATTATACAAGTGGTCATTAAAAATTCTCCCACAAACACCTTGGTGTTTAAACGTGTTTACAATGCTGTCAGTAGTGTTAGTAGTCAGTGCTCCAGGCCTCTGAGTGCCAGAACCAGGAATGAGCACAGGAGAGCAGAAACCCGTAATCCAGTGCTGACCAGGGAGAACAGAAATGACAGGCTGGTGCCCTCACTTGCCACCGCATTTGGAGAAGAGAATAACTCCAGAAGGAACCAAGAAGAGGTGGGGTTGTGTTTTTGTTTGTTTTTTTACGTGCAGCAGGCCTCTCCTTCGCACCAGAAGATGGACTCTTCCTGTGGATTTTATTTTAAACACAGGGAGATCCAGGATGGTAAGTGCCACTGTTGCTATCCTGGAGAAGTTGTGTTCTATTTTTGGTGTTGATCTTCTCATGAAATACCTATTAGCCAACACATGTTAACATCTTTAATATAGATGCTTCAAAAGTAACCCCCAGTGAAATACTAAAATTCCACAATAATCATCTTTAGGTCTATATGTTACTTAGTAAACTTCACAGTATTCAATCCCTTGTGAATATTTTGTAGTTATCGCTGTTCAGTCCTGACATGAAATGAAGTGATTCCAGTTTGATTGTGGGTTTCCTCTTTTCATGCTGATCAAGTAAACTTATCGTCTCTTTTCTGATTTTCTGCATTAAGAACTAAAAAGGAAAAAAAAACACAATATTCTAGTATTAAATGTTTTGAGAAGCCAGCCCAGCAGGTCCCATTGACATAAATATTTAGAAACTGTCATAAAGACTATCTCCCATAGCAACACTGCAATGGGGAATTGCACTCATAGGACAAGATAGCAAACGAGACCACTTGTTTGGCCAACAGGTGCCATGAAACGAAGCTCAAACATCTGAAAAATCCATATTTGAAATGGTGAAATTATGTCCCATGTCCTATAAAATGTACTCTCAGAAGAATTTTGATGCTGTCACAATCCTCATGAAAACCTCTGTCAGTGCACCTGCAACAGGAAGCACATGCCTCCTAAGAGCCACTGGCAGCTTTGGTCAGCTCTTGCCACTCCAAAGCTCTCCCCTTTCAGAGTGGGAATGGACTGTGGCTTCATCTTCCTTACTCTGTCCTTGGAACACATGGACACATCAAAAGACATGTCACAAATAAGACCTAAGACCCATACCTGATTTACAACTACTGCACAGAAATGGCTGGCTTAGAAGAACCCCGGTGAATTAATAATCGCACTGAGCATCAATTGCTGCTTGTATCACAAAAAGACACCAGACATTACATTCCTCCTGGTGAAAGAACATAACACTGTCATCTTACCAAAGGCCTGACCAGAACCTGAGTCTTATCAAGACTCTGGTTTGCAGGAGGTAAAAAGAACAACATAGTAAACCGTACTATCCAGACTGCGGAAAACTCCAAGTCAACTGGCTTTGGCTCTTTAACAGACTACAAAGAAGAAAAGGGGAAGGAGCCCCAGGGACTTACTGGTTAAAGAACATACTAAATTTAGGAAAATAGGCAAGACTAAACTATGGTGTCCAGGGATCCCCACCTGGGTGATAAACCCACAAAGAAATGTAAGAAAATGCCTACTAGATGGGTCAGGAGAGGGGTTGCTACTGCAGGGAGGGAAGGTGCTGGGCCTGGGGCAGGGCATAGGGAGGGGCTTCTAGAGAGCAGGCTACATTCTATTTCTTGACAGGGTGGAGGGTGGTTACAAGGTGTTCATCTTCTAAAAACTCCTTTGCTTTGTGTGGTTTTTCTGAATCTGTTTTACTTCCTAACAGGAAAATTTTGTAAGCCTACTAAATGAAAACACAGGTAAATTCCTTCCAACTCCCAGAGGCAATAAAAGATAGAAAAATTGTAGAAACTTGTGCATGGCAAAATACACCAGAGGCAAAATCAAGACAAACTGGGAGAAGGTATCTGCAACTTCACAGATAAGGAGCAATGTCTCCAGCACATAAAGAGTCTTAAAAACAATTAAAACACCAAGAATCTGAAAAAATAAAAATTTAAAAGGAAATCATAAGTTCATAATGATACTAAAACCAATCAATGTGTGAGTGTATGAGTGTGTGTTGGGGTAGGGAGGTCCCTAAAGAATGGCAGCTAGTCCTGGCTGGGTGGCTCAGGTGGTTAGAGCATCGTCCTGTACACCAAAAGGTTCAATTCCCAGTCAGGGCACATACCTAGGTTGTGGGTTCGATCCCCAGCTGAAGCATGTGGAGGAGGCAACCAATTGATATTTCTCTCTGACATCAATGTTTCTCTCCATTCCTCTCTAAATCAATTTTAAAAATTAAAAAAAAAAAAACAACATGACAGCTAATACCTGTGAAGGTGACAGGATCAGAAAAGTCACCATTAGACAAGGGGTTCCAATGGATGGTAAAGCCAAACCATTGCAAAGGACCCCTGCCCCCATGGGGATGGAATGTGCAATATGATGGAAGTGATTAACAGTGCCTTATGATACATATGAAAGTTGTTAAGAGCGTGGATCCTAAGTATTCTCATCACAAGGGAAAAAATATACTTTGTATCCCTATGAGACGATGGATGTGAATTAAACTTACTGTAGTAATCATTCCACGATACACATAAGTCAACTCATGCTGTACAACCTAACACACAGTGTTGTATGTCAATTCTATCTCAAAAATGGAAAAAGGGGTCCCATTCTAGATGACATATTAGTTATATGGAAAGTGGACTTTGGCAAGGGAGAGACCTGGTGCGCACTGCCTTCACCAAGCCGCCAGCCTGCCATCCGTGCCTCCTGGTGTGGCGCAAGAGGAACGCAAGGCAGCTGCAAAAACGCCCAACCTGAATCCAATCACAGCAAAACGGACACACCCAGACCTGATCCATCCCACTGGCCTGGACTCTCCAAAAATTCAAAATCATAACACTACAAAACGCTACTATAAAAAGCTGCCTGAAAGCGCTGTGCACTGTAACAGGGCTTTCTGATTGGTGCTACAGAGTCATCAGCGGTGACCTGGCTGTTTTGTTGGGAAATCCCTAAGTATCACTGAAGACCCATCCTCCAGCTGACTCCCGAGGCTGGAGCCCCATGAACACGCTCCTCAGCCCTGCACCTCCCTCCTGGCCCCTAATTCGAAGGCTTCTGAAGAAAAGTCTTCAGCGACGAACCACTTATGCTACTGCTGGGATTCGCTGTACAGCCACCTCTGTGGTGAAGGACCACAGAGTAGAGCGTCACAACTGCGCCTAGAACGAGGCGACCCCACCACAGTCGTTACCATTCACGTTCCTGTCATTCCCTGCAAGGGCTGCCTGCTTGTCTGTTTCAGATTCTGCCTCGTTTTCATCCATGTTGTAGTCATCATCTCCTCCCACTTTTTGCTCGTTTCTCCCTGAAACATTAGCACAGACAACACATAAAACAGAAACTCCATCATTTCTCTTGGTGCCACAGACACAACAGAGCCCAGACACTGGGTTCTTCTTCCAACCATGGTTTCACCGACAGATCTTTTTGCCACATCTCAGAACTGACAGGGACTCATGTATTTGCTGCCAGTACACATACCATGTAGGAGTTCTCTATTCACGTATTCCACTTTGACTCTGAGTCTATATAAAATGGAGGAACTAACTACCTAGCTGAACCCAAATCCCAGTTTTTTAAAGAGACAATCAACTCAAGGTTGTTTCCACTGTTTTTGGAAACAACAGGTTTCTAATTAACTAGAGGCCCGATGCACAAAATTCGTGCAAGACGCTTGGCCCTCGAAGCCCTGGCTTCGTCCAGAAGGTCATTCAGCTGTCCGGTCTAATTAGCATATTATGCTTTTATTATATAAATAATGACATCTCCTTAGAGTAGCTCATTGCTCCAAAAGGAGGAAACGAAGTGACTGCTGTGAGCCAAAGGATAAAATTTCCCATCAGACCTACAGAATTCCATCATTCATCACTACATCCATCCCTGGAAAGGAAGATCAGGAAACAGTGCCTTCCACAGACATAGTCACAGAATTTAACCTAAACATGGCATATATGTATATAGGTAAGTAAATTTTTTTAAGCACACCTGGAAAAGTCAGCTCTAGTTCTATTTCTCTGCACTTGCTGCCTGATGTGAACATGAAGCACAGGCCAGTGTGCCCTGTAGCTTCATTCCACTAAGTAGATCATCACCAGTGCACCTGAAAGGAAGTGCATCCTCATGCCCTGTAGTAGCGCGCCCCCTGGTGGCTGTTACACGTTGTGACCAGCTGCTCAATGGTCCAGCGGCTAGCGGGCTAGCGGACAGCCACTGACTGAATCAGCCACCTGAGTTTTATTGCTTCAATTCTTGAATAGAGAACTTGTGAGGACACATTCTTCAGAAAGAGAAACTTGAGTGAAAATTAGATTTAAATGGACTCAGGATAACTTCTGTAATAAGCGCATTCCCCAACTTCTGTTCCTTGGTCACTCCCAGAGCACAGGTGCCTTCTATTTAAGTGCTCCTGGCAGCTGGGATTGAAATTTTTCACATCTTTAAGAAACCAAAACCAGAAAGATGAGATTCATGTGTCCCTTTTTGGCAAACTAACTTCCCTCCTTCCTTCTCTTCCGCTGTCTATCCCTCCGCCCTCTACACACACACACACACACACACACACACCTCACCAGGTACTAACTGGTGACTCTGGGTGCTGAAGTGCAGAGATAGACAAGGCATGTGGGCTGCCCACCAGGAGGCCTTTTACCTGATGCTTAAACACCATCAAGGTCTCCCACCTGAAAAGCCCCCTCGCTCCCTGTGAATATTATTTCTGAAAATTCCAGGTGCCAGGGAGTGTACTGCTCTTCCCTCCTGCCTCCTACTTGATAACGGATACTGAATAAGCAAAAGAACCACCAGATCATGGGCTGCTGTTTGGTAAACTTCAGGGGGACCCTTCCCATGTCAGCGGGCCGCCCACAGAGCCTCTCACCCACCTTCCTCGTCAGCATCCTGCTCCTCCTCCTGCCCATCCCGGACCACAAGCTGGTCCCGCTCAGGCTCCTCCACCTCCTGATTTTCCTGGCTCATCAGCAGGGTGGCTGGCACCTGTGGGGTTTGGCCGGGGTCTCTAGCATCTCCCGTGCCTCTTCCGCCCGCACGTCTGTCTGCTTCCACAGCCTGCTCGCGGTCTGGCTCCTGTGGCAGCGCCTGGCTGTCCCTCCGAAGCGCCTCCTCGCTGATGACCTGAATGTCATTGGTTTCCTCTGTGCACAGAACAACGTTAGCTGTAAGCCCCCTGGCATTTAACTTCATTAAAACAAAACCCTCGTACCACTCGATTCCCAGAGCCCCCCCCAAGGACTGTGGATGGGGGAGCTGAGGACAGGTGGGGCAGCTGGGTCATGTGCTTAGTGACCTCAGCAGAAGGCTCCAGTCCTGTCAGAACTGGGGCCTGCCGTTCATCTTCAGAACCAGGAGCAAGGGAAGAGTAGTTTAGAAAAAAAATCTGGACTCAGTTATCTTGTTTACAGTGACAACCTACAGATGGGGGAAGGTGCACTGCTGGGATCATCTGACCACTGTATGTTGGGAGACAAGTACTTGGGAGCCGCTGACAGGTCCTAGGACTCAGCTACCGCCTGTGATCCCCCAGCCCTACCCTGTCCGGAATAAAGGCGCAGCCTAGGCCCTTCTGCACACAGAACAGGCACTTACTTTACAGGGATGAGACCAGCAAGACAGAGAAGCCCTGCGGCCCCAGTTCCAGATGCCCAGAGACACCTGCCACCTGCAGCCCCACTATCGAGCTCGCTGACGCCTCCAGCAGCACGCTCTGCCCTCCGAGTGTTTGAGTGCAGGGCTTGAACTCCACTGTCTTTTATTTGAATGGGGCTCTGGCAGGAGTTTAAACATGTAACTACCAAGCTTCACTTACCTTTCTCACCCTCTCTCCTCAAATCCAAAGCCGCCTCAGAACTGGGGACTGGCGTCTGGGGCTCACCATTACCAGGCACATTCCCTTTCGTTTGTGGCACCTCTGCCGGGGGCAGGCCTGTGTCCTGCAGCCTTGGCTGAGGCTCGCTGGGAGCTCGGAGCTGAAACAGGAGCACAGGACAGCCATGGTAGGGCTCTGTCACTAGAAACCTTATAACAACCCTGGGCCAACACTGAGACCCTGAGAAATGCCATCATCTACCCCGATCGTGCCCCTTCACCTGGCATAAATCAGAACATCTGAGGCCGAGTCAAGATCTCCCCGAAAGTACTTTCAATAATGGATGGAGCCAAAACCGGTTTGGCTCAGTGGATAGAGCGTCGGCCTGCGGACTGAAGGGTCCCAGGTTCGATTCCGGTCAAGGGCATGTACCTTGGTTGCGGGCATATCCCCAGTGGGAGATGTGCAGGAGGCAGCTGATCGATGTTTCTCTCTCATTGATGTTTCTGGCTCTCTATCTCTCTCCCTTCCTCTCTGTAAAAAGTCAATAAAATATATTTTAAAAAAAAAATAATGGATGGAAAACTAAAATAATGGATGGACAAGTGGGCAGAAGATCAATAAGGAAAAAGAAACTAGACAGGACATCAATAGAACACTCAACCCAACCAGAACAAAACATACATTCTTCTCAAGTGTACACTGAATATTCACCAGGACAGACAGAGGCTAGGCCACAAAATGAGCCACAACCAATCTAAAATGACTGAAATCATGCAAACTATGTTTTCCAAGCACAGTGGAATGAAATTATTCATCATAGCAGAATGAAATGTGAGAAATTCACAAATAACCAATGGATCAAAGAAATCACAAGTCAAATGAGAAAGTGTTGAGAAAAGTTAAAACAAAAAAACCCCACAACATACCAAACTTACTGGAGGCAGCTAAAGCAGTGCTTAGAAGGAAATGTATAGGCCTACATTAAGAAACAGAAAGATCTCAAAAGTCAGTAACATAATATTTCACGGTGAAGATAATGGCGCAACAGGAGCAAACTGAGCCTACTCAAGGAAAGACATAAAGATTAGAGAAGGAATTCATGAAATAAGAAATAGAAAAATAGAGAAAAATCAATGAAATCAAGTTAGTTCTTGAAAATATGAAAAAAAAATTGACAAACCTCTAGCCAGATTAACTGAGGGGAAAAAGAGAGTAGACTCAAATTACTAAAATAAAAAATGAAAGGGTATAACAATACTAACCATATACAAATAAAAAGTATTATTTATAAGGGAATACTATGAAGAACTGTTTATCAACAAGATTGATAACTTAGATGAAACAGACACGTTCCTAGAAAGACAAACTACCAAAACTGACTCAAGAAGTAGAACATCTGAGTAGACTTATAACAAGAGATTAAATTAGTAACTTAAAAATTATACCCCTCTAACCCCCCGCCCGCCCCCCTTCAACAAAAGCCCAGGCCTAAAATGGCTTCATTAGTAAATTCTACCAAACATTTAAAAAAGAATACCAAATCTTCACAAACTCTTCCAAAAAACAAGAGGAAGGAATACCCCCCAAGTCATTTTATAGCCAGTTATTACCCTGATACCAAAGACAGTCAAAGGCATTACAAAAAAATAAAACTATAGACCAATATTCCTTATATAGGCACCAAAATCATCAACAAAATATTAGCATGTCATATTCAACAACACATAAAAGAATTATATACCACAGCCAAGGAATTTATCTTGAGAATGCAAAGTTAGTTTAACATTTAAAACTCAATGAGTTAACTGCCACGCATCTAAAATGGAAACCATCCCCACATGCCACGATATTTTAAATTTAATTTAAAAAATCAATTTGCGCCAAAACCGGTTTGGCTCAGTGGATAGAGCGTCGGCCTGCGGACTGAAAGGTCCCAGGTTCGATTCCGGTCAAGGGCATGTACCTGGGTTGCAGGCACATCCCCAGTGGGAGGTGTGCAGGAGGCAGCTGATCAATGTTTCTAACTCTCTATCTCTCTCTCTTCCTTTCTGTAAAAAATCAATAAAATATATTTTTAAAAAAATCAATTTGCAATGAATATTATAAAAATAAATATATTACTCACAATTCGGGTGTTCTTGAATAGTTTCAGTTGAAAATTCTCACGAAAAATGATTTTAAAGTTGGTCTATAGGTGCTTATGGTAGGCAAACGGTAAATGTAGCCCTGGCCAGTATGCTCGGTGGTTAGAGCACCAGCCTGTGCACCAAAGGGTCTCAGGTTCGATTCCCAGTCAGGGGTACATACCTGGGTTGCAGGTTTGATCCCCGGCCCATGCAGGAGGCAACCAATCAATGGGTCTCTCTCACATCAATCAATGTTTCTCTCTTTCCCCCTTCCTCCTTCCCTCCCACTCTCTAAAAATCATTCAAAAAAATATCAAGTTAGAGCAATATAAAAATGAATTGTATTTCTATATACCAGCAAAAGATAATTTGAAAATGAAATTAAGAAAATAATTCCATTTATAATAGCATCAAAAAATACTTAGAAATAAATGGAACAAAAAAGTGCAAGACTTCTGAAAATCATAAACACTGCTGAAACAGATTTCTAAAGGACTTAAATATGTGGAAAGACATCCCTTAAATATGTTAAGACATCTGATTGAAGACTTCATGCTGCTAAGAGGGCAATACACCTCAAACTGATCTACAGGTTCAATGTAACCTCTCAAAATCCCACATGGCTTTGTTAAAGAAATTGACAAACTGATCCTTTCATAGTGAAAGTCAATGGATACAGAATAGCCAAAGTAATCCTGAAAAAGAACAACAAAATTGGAGGTTACTATAAAGCTACAGTAATCAAGACTGTGTGTGAGGTACTGACAGGATAGACAATGGAATAAAAGTGAGAGTCTAGAAGTAAACCCTCGTGTTTATAGCAAACTGATTTTTGACAAGAGTGCCAAGACAATTCAGTGTGGGGAAGAATAGGATTATTTTTCTCAGTAAGTGGTGTTGAGACAAGTGGATAGATAGACAATGCAAAAGACTGAAGTTGGATCCCTATCCTCACAGCAGCTACAGAGACTAAATTCACTCAAGATGGAGCATAGGACTAAATGTAAGAACAAAATGTGAAGAACTATACAACTCTCAGAAGAAAACACAGGAGTAAATCTTCCTGACCTTGGGGTAGGCAAAGTATTTTTAGACATGACATCAAAAGAATAAGCAACACAAGAAATATATAAACATGATTTCATCAAAATTAAAACCTTTTTGCTTCAATGAACACCAACAAGTAAAAAACAACTCACAGAATGAGAAAAAAATATTTGCAAATCATATGTCCAATAGCTGTATATATGTAGGAACTCATTACAAACTCTTACAACTCAATAAAAAATAACTTTTTAAAATGACAAAGGAGCTAATAAACATTTTCTCTGAAGAAGATATACAAATGGCCAATAAGCACATGAAAAAGATGCTCAACATCATTAGTTATTAGGAAAGTGTAAATCCAAACCACAATGAGAAAACACTCCACACCCACTAGAATGGCTGTAATGTAAAAGGTAGGTAATAACAAGAGCTGACAAGAATGTGGAAAAACTGGGACCCTCATAAACTGCTGGTTGAGAATGTAAAATGATATGATAACTTTCCAAAAGTAGTTTGGCAGTTTCTCGATACATTAATTTACCATGACCCAGCAGTTCCACTCCCCGGTATATACCTAAGAGAAATGAAAACTTATGCCCATACAAAAATATGTACATGAATGTTCATAGCCACATTATTCATAACAGCCAAAACATTGGAAATAACCCAAATAACTATCAACGGACAAATGAATAAAGAAAAGTGGTATGTCATATAATGGAATATTATTCAGCCATAAAAAAATAAAGCTACAACATGGACTTTGAATGCATTATGCTAAGGGAAAGAAGTCAGACACAAAAGGCCACATAATGATTTCATTGATATGAAATGTCCAGATCAGGCATCTCTACAGAGACAGGAAATGGGTTGGTGGTTATCTAGGGCTGGGGAGGATTGGGGTAAGTGGGGGGTGAGCTAATGAGTATGGGGTTCCTTTGGTCATGAAAATGTTCTAAAATTGACAGCAACGATGGTTTCACAACTTTGTGAATATACCAAAAAAAAACAAAAAATTGCAAATATTATATGGGTGAATTGTATGGTATATAAATTATATCTCCATAAAGCTGCTATATTTTAAAACAAAAATGAAGAACGCCCAGAAGCAATTTCATGGGATGTGCTTTACACAGGAGACAGCCTGGAGGCATGGGCTCCGATCGGCTCCACCGCTAACCAGGTCAAGTGTGACCTTGGCCATCGCACTTAACTATCACCCTGGGCCTCAGCACCCTCAAAACATGAAAACAGCAGCAACTCCCTCCCAAGGTGCCTGTGAGCTTTCCGTGAAGTAATCCCGGTAGAGCCCAGAGCACAGGGCCTGGGCCCGGAGGCCAGCCTACTCAGCACCCCAGGGCCAGGCCGGGTATCTCAGGGAAGCAAACCCACTGGGGAGAGCAGAGAGCAGAGCAAACCAGACAGCAGACAAGGGAACAAAATGCCTGGAGACGGGTAGGAAAACCTGCAAATCCTTGGCAGTGAAATCCAGAATTACCTGCTGGCTTGGTGTCTTGTGTTCACTCAGGTCTCTGGAAGCCACAGCTTCATTCCCCTTTTTGGTGACTTCTTCTATCTGCTCCTCACACTGCTCCTTCACCTCTTTCATCTGATTGATGCACTGGCTCCTTTGGGGACATAGGAAAGGACAAACATCCACAGGGGTGTCTGTACGCCAGGTGTGTCCCTGCAGTGACTGAAATCCACAGGAGACACTTCCCCTGCCCCAGGCACGTCATTTACAGACAACACGTAAGCAGGACAATGTGTGCTTTTATTAAATGACAAGAAAACTGTAGTTGATTGAAACTTTCTAAGACTGTGTCACCTTGTTCTAGAACAGGTAAACTTTACTGGTTAGAAAAAAAAACAATTTTTAAAACATCATCTGTGGCCTGGCCGGCATGGCTCAGTGGTTGAGCGTTGACCTGTGAATCAGGAAGCCACGGTTCAATTCCCTGTCAGGGCTCATGCCTGGGTTGTGGTTCGACATCCAGTAGCGGGTGTGCAGGAGGCAGCTGATCTATGATTCTCATCATTGATATTTCTATCCTTCTCTCCCTCCTCTCCCTTCCTCACTGAAATCAATAAAAATACATTTTAAAAAATAACAGTAATGTATGTATTGGTTAGTTCATTGTGACAAAAATGCCACACTAATGTAAAGTGTTAACAACAGGGGACACTGGGTATGGGATATACGGGAACTCTACTATCTTAGCAATAAATCTAAAATTCAAAAATTCAAAATTTATATTAAAAAATGGAAATGACTGAACTGAACTGGAGGATACCCAGTTGGTGTGAGAGAACTGCGGACGGAGCACAGAATCTAATTCGGCCTGAGCTCCCAATTAGCAGAGACACTTTGAGGTATCACTTCGGCTTTGTACCTGGAACTCAAGTGTCTGTTCTAAAGTAATTGAGAGAATTACCCACTTGTACAAATGAGGAAGCTAAGAGGTGACCTGATTGACACCATCCAGGGTTGCAGAGAGGAAGAGAGACAAGGCTGAAATCAGAAGCCAGACTGTGGTTTCCTGACTGCAAGGCTCCCTCTGCCCCACGGCTGCCTCTTCCGAGCCACACCCATTTCAGAGCCAGGGTAAGTGCACGCGACCCCTAACTCTAGTGCTGTACTCGTCAGTTCATAGGACTTACTGGATCTCAACCACGCACACAGAGGGACACCAGGTACTTTAGAAATAATGAAAGACAGAGATCCTAACCTGGCACAGCTTACAGATCAAGAGAAGACTTGAGAGAAAATTCGGTTGTATAAAATTCTCACACACATGCGAGCCGCGGGTGGTAGACTAGTGCCCCGTAGCTTAGCACAGCGAACAAAAAGAAAGACATCTGTATACCGAAAGAACCAGAGGTGTCCAATTCATTGTTATCCAACAACGTCACAGAAGCTCAGAATTAGCACAGGAGCAGGTGCAGGGCCACTGCTGGACCTTTAAACCTACAAAAGGAACTACTGTTTGCACCTGCTCTCAGCCCTGCCAACGTCAAGTACAAAGAAAAGAGCCTCTGCGTCTCAGCCCTGCGGATTAAGGTCAGCTTCCACGTCCCCGCTCAACAGCAACAAGAGGAGCAACCGCAGAACCAAGCTCACGTGCAGGTCCTACAGATCGGGACAGTGTTACTTCCTGGAGGCCGCGGGCTGGCTTTCCTTACACCTTCATGATGCATGTTCAGGCATTAACTGGAGCTCACATGGAGAGACATACAAGACTGGGCCACCAGAGATCATCCTAAACGGTGCAACTGATGGTCGGAGGACCATGAACAGAATGTGCTCAGTACAGGGACCTATCAAGGCAGATGATCTGAGGATCCAGGGTGCTGACTCAGAGTGTTACTGATTACATTCCACCAGCCCACTTCCTCATGGCATGGAGAGGAGAGCGCAGGCAGTTCATCCCATACACCAACTCTAGGGGTTCTGGGGAGGGAATGCAAGGCTGTGTTTGGATCAAGTACAGTGATCGCTCAGTGATGTCTGCCACAGGGCAGGAGTAAGAAGTGGGGATGAATGCTCACTCTGGTATTTGAAGGTTTCCTGGCCTTTCCTCAGCTTCTGCATTCTCAGCATTGCCTTCTGTAAAATGCTGAGGCCAGAGAGAGAGTTCTAATGGACGATGGGCATATTTATAAATGGACATATACACAAAGTTGCGCATTCAATTTGTGGGACCTTGATGCACAGCGCTGTGTACACGTCCATTCATAAACTGGCTAACAAGGTGTTCCTATCTTTTGTCAGATCCTCACAAAGGGTCTCTAATCCAAAGGCAGAAGCAACTAACTCTTTCCAGCTTTCAACATTCCGTGAGCATCATCCCTGGGAATCATCTTGTATCTGGCTCAGGGCTTTGGACACAGAACTAATGAAACAGATGTGCTCAGCCAGAGTTCTCCATCCATCATCCTCCTGAGAGAAAAACAGTGCGTCCCACACACATGGCCAACCCGGGTCAGAACACTCCGCTCACTGCCTCTCTGAATGCTCCTACCTGGGAGGCAGAGCTGCCCTCCCTGTCACTGGGCCCTGGCTGATGTCCAGCTAAAACCTTCTGGGTCAAATATATCCAGGCCATTAATGGCTTACTGTATTTCAGTCAATGGACGGGAAGTATGTGCATTAAGGTGTCTTTCAAGGATGAGTAATAGTAAGACTGGGGCCCTTCATGTTTGTCTGAAAGTTTTGATTACCAGCCTAGCTCAGGGTTTCTCAGCTCGGCACCTGTGCTATTTGGGGGCAGGTAAAACCTCATTGTGGGAGGAGCCCCATCTTTGCAGGATATTTAGCCGTGTCCCTGTTCTCTACCCACCAGATGCCAGCAGCCCCTCTTCTAAGTTGTGACCATCAAAAATGCCCACCAAAGGCTCCTTGGGCACAATGCCACCCACTGAGAACCCCTGGCCGAGCTGAACAAGGTTCCATCTATGCATGTTTTCTTACTCTGTTTCCTTTGCCTTGACTACACGTCCTTTGCCTATTTATGTACCGGGGGGCTCCTAGTTTGGGCTGTACTTGGTTTTAAAGTGATCAGGAAGATGTCACGGTGGACGATCGCTTGGAAGACATCAGAATCCCTACCAGGGCAATCGGTGCGCGGACACTTGTTCTGGTACATCGCTGGTCACCACGCAGATGGCCAGAGTCCTTTCAGAGCCCTACCTGCCCCTTAACCTGGGAGGTGGGCGCAGGTCACACCTGAGCACCTCTGGAACACACGCTAAAGGCTTTGGATGTACCGGCTTAGCCAGGTCACCCGTGCTCCAGAGCGTGAAGTTACATTACGGCTTCAAGCATGCTGAGCAAGGCATTTCCTGCTACGGAGAACTGCCCTCTTATCTATCTTGTATTACGAGCCACTGGCTAACACTCTCCCACGCCTTTCTGAAGCACTGCTAACACTTAGAACATAAAATGCATTATTTCTGAAGGCCTGACTCCTGGAGGGGACTGGACCTTCCCCATCTTCTCCCTAAAAGGCAGGGCGAGTGGCGACTAGGCCGGCCCGTCTTCTGCCCGAGGCCGGGAGCTAGGCAGCCCCGAGTGCACGCACTTGGTGCAGAGCCACACTTACAGGTCGTAGGAGAACTTCCTCTCCAGGTTGGTCTGGTTCTTCTGAAACTGGAGGACATCCTGCTGCAGCTTGCCGTAATTCTTCTGCAGGGCCTTTAACTGGTCTGGGCCACAAGGAGGACAGGAGGTCACACAGGTCCACAGGACGGAAAGAGAAGAGAAGAGATGAGCGCACGGCCCCTCCCAGCACCCCGACGCCCCAGCCAGGGAGGTGGCCCTTCGAGATCTACAGGAACCGGCGGCACTTGGCTCCTTTTCCAAACGTTTTCTCTCTTAAATCTCCTTCTTGACCTCCAACCCTGAAAATGCCTGTTTCTTTCTTAGACGTCATAAGCCCTGAGCTGTCTGTCCTACCAGGTCTCAAAAGCTACTATGTATCCCACTGATTTCGACATCTTATCAGATGAGTAGCCGCTCCTCCCTCCGCCTGTCCTTGGCTGCCAGGCTCCACCAGGGAACTTCTCCAGTCATCTGTTCACAGCCAAGCTACTCTCCGAGGCCCCCGTGTTCATGTAATCATCTCGCCCTCTTATCTGGGAAACTGCAGCTTTCCTTGAGGAAATTCTTCAGCCCCATCCCTGCTGCCCTGACGACTTGGCTCATAAAAGCAACACAGGCCCAGCCGCGGTGGCTCAGTGGTTGAGCATCGACCTAAGAACCGGGAGGTCACGGTTTGATTCCCGGTCAGGGTTGTGGGCTCGATCCCCAGTGTGGGGCATGCAGGAGGCAGCCAATCAGTGAAAGATTCTCTCCCTCTCCCTTCCTCTTTGAAAGCAATAAAAATATATTTTTAAAAATTAAAAAATAAAGGCAACGCAGTAGGAAAAACAGAAACTAAGTAGGTATTTATAAGGCTGGTAAGAACTGCAAAAGAAAATGGCTGGGATGCTACAGAAACACTGAAAAAAAATCTTGTAAAAGCTCTACAGAAAAACAACAGCAGCTGACAGAGCGCCAAGCTGGGGGTGGGCGGGCAAGCTGCCACGGAGGGGCCCGCAGAGTGGGCAGACGGCAGCAGGGCCAGGACACAGCCCTGGACAGACACCTGAGTCCCCCCAGGCTGTCCTCACAACTCTAGACCTGCCCGGCACTCTGGGGGGAAGTAAGCGAAAGAGAAGGATTCCGGGAATGCTGCTGCACAGCCACAAGGATCCATCTCAGGCAACACCGGGAGGGGGTCAGGGTCATCTCCCCGTGGGAAACGGCTCAGTGGGGGCAGGAGGCTGACCACGAAAGTCTGCTCGGGGCGGGTGATGGACACGAGCTGGGTCCTGACTGTGACGGTGGTGGTCTGGGGCACTCTGCATGTGTCACAACGTATAGAAAGGCACACTGCAAAGGGCAAACTTGACTGTGTGTAAATTACAGCTCCATTAACCTTAAAAAAAAAAAGACTCCGCCCTAACTGGTTTGGCTCACTGAATAGAGCACCGGCCTGCAGTCTCAAGGGTCCCAGGTTCAATTCCGGTCAAGGGCATGTACCTTGGTTGCGGGCGCATCCCCAGTGGGGAGTGTGCAGGAGGCAGCTGATTGATGTTTCTAACTCTCTATCCCTCTCCCTTCCTCTCTGTAAAAAAATCAATAAAATATAAAATAAAATAAAAAGACTCCATAAATCAAACTGAGCATGGGCAATGGAATCCTATTCCACAATGAAAAGGAATGAAGTACTGCCCTCAGCCTCGGTGTGCAGAGGCCACACCATCAAGGTGTGGGTAAGCACGCGCCACGCTGTGTGCACAATGACGAGGCTGCCTAATGACACGTCTCAAGACACAGCGGCCGCTCAGCAGCACAGGACGCGTGGGAAAGGCTGCAGCCATCCTCCTTCCTGACGTGTGAGCAGGAGCATCAGCAGATCGCAAGCTCTGAGAAGCCCCCGGGACCAAGAACTCCCTTAACTCTGTGTAGCCCTGCCTTTCCCCTCCGAACAGTCCTAGACTCCTAGACAGGCGCTGTCCAATCGAACCACAGGCGGGGGCAAAAGTAGATCTGCAGCTGTGAGTACGAGAAACAGTCTATTTTTCTTCTTCTGTGTTAATGACTGTATTATTTTCCATACGAACAACTGCAAACCTACTTTTGCCCCACCCTGTATATACACCACATATAAAAAACAGATCACATACATATCATAGATATGTGTGTGGGCACATAGGTATATTCTTTTCAACGTATCAAAAAATGAGAGTGTGAATTCTTCTGTGCAGAGCAGCTTGCAATGTATTCAGTAGCATTTTTAGAGGAAAAGCTCTTTAAGGATAAATTAAAGATTACTCCATCACTCGTAATCACACCCGTCACTAGATTAGAATAAACAACCCTCAGAAGGACAAGAGGAAAGTAGGTCCCCCGACCGGAGGCCTGGTGTCAGGAGGAGAGGAGAGCTCACCTTGCAGGGTTCTGATGAGCCTCTCGCCTGTGGTGATATTATTCACCAAAACCGCCTGCAAGGAAGATAAACGCAGAATGAAACACCGGAACCCACCCTAGTAGGAACCCACCCTAGTAAGACGTACACGTGGGGAAAAGGAAGGCTGCACCCCTCCCCGGCCCAACGCAGAGGTCAGAAGGGCAGGCCCGGGGCGGCAGCTCTGATTATCTGACGCCCACAGCCAGAAAAGGAACTCGCACACAGAGACCTGCCTGCCCAACACCAGCTGCGACCGGAGGAAGAGGAACCGGTCCCTCGCCCTCGCCGAGTTCCAGGACCGGCCCCTCCTCTGCGCAAGGCCCCTGCCATGGCTGGCTGATTCCCAACTCTGGCTTTTTTTCTGGAGGAGCCTGGGCACAGTCATATCCTCACTCAGAAGTCAAACTCTGAATGCCAGGCCGGCTAACAGAGCAAAGAGAAGGAAACGTGGGGACCACTCCTCCAGCACAGCACTCGGCGTCATTTTAACGTAACCTCGGGCCTCTTCCTTCTGTCCACAGTCGGCACGCCTGGGGAGTGCGGGGCTCACACACAGTTAGTGACACAGATTTGGGAACGCTGACAACAGAACAGGGAAAAGGCCGCACAGGACTCAGGACAACAACATAAAAGAAGCAACAAGAAAGAGAGATGAGTGCGCAGTGAGCGGGACCAGCAGCCTGTGCGTGCCGAGTGAACACCTTACAGCAGGTCTCTGCGGAGGCTCCACATCCAGGTGCTCCCTTCTCCTCACGCCAGCTGCCAGCTGCGTGAGCGGGTAGGTGCTCCTCCTCTGAGGCACAGGCTGCTTAGGAAGCTCCAGTCCTGCAGCTCTCTCCACAGCAAACAAGCAAAGCCACACCTGAGCCCCAGCGCCAGCTCCGGGAGCGAGCACTCCATCACTACTTGCCAAACTGGGTCTAAACCTCGGCAGGACACCAATCCAGTGGACTGCGCCCAGCACTAACGGTGAACAAAAACCTGAAGAGGGCTGGACTGGAATATTACACACCAGAGCACCTCACGCTGGAAGCACTGTTTTGTGCACACACTGTGCACGGGGCCACCTGGGAAAGTTTCTTCCTGTGTCGTAATCAACGAAGCTTGGAAAATGCCGCCCGTAACTTGGAGACACGTTTCTGTCCCATTTCTGGTTCCCGGTGATGATGCCAACCACACCGCCTCCCCCCTCTGTGCCTCTGGCCTTCCCCTGGACCTCTCTGCCCAGCCCCCACTCTTTCTCTGGCCTGGACAGTTTCCTGGAGTCAGGTGTTTGTGAATACAGGGGTGTGCACCAGAAATGAAATCTGGCCAGACTGATCTGGTGTTGATTCTGGGAGACCTGAGCAAAGGCACATTTCCTGGTATAACAGGGAAGAAGTCACAGTGATAACACACTGTACTAGAGGCCCAGTGCATGAAATTCACGCATGGGTAGGGTCCCCAGTGGCTGCTGGCTGCCGGCTGGGGCCTCACCGCTGGCGGCCGGGACCTTCCTTCCCCCAGCCACCTGCCGCCCCCGCCCCCTCGTCAAACTCCCTGTTGCGGGGACAATTTGCTTATTAGACTTTTGTTATATAGCAGCGGTTCTCAACCTGTGGGTGGCGACCCCCTTGGCGGTCGAACGACCCTTTCACAGGGGTCGCCTAAGACCATCCTGCAAATCAGATATTTACATTACGATTCATAACAGTAGCAACATGACAGTTATGAAGTAGCAACGAAAATAATTTTATGGTTGGGTCACAACATGAGGCACTGTATTTAAAGGGCCAGAAGGTTGAGAACCACTGGTATACAGGATAATTATTCTCTCAGGGAGAGGTTATCAAGAGGGGTCTTTATAGATATTCTTCACCAACAAAAAATATTCTATGCGGGCAGCAGAGAGAAGAGAACCCGCAGTGACAGGAGGATTTGCACAGCCAGGAATCCGATTTACACAGCGTGCAGCTCCTGCTCCTCTCAGAAAAGGCTTGCACCCGTCCAGCTAAAAAGACAAAAGATGAGCACGTAGCCCAGCATCCCCACTCCGGGGATTTGTCTGAAAGAACTCAAAGCAAGATCTCGAGGCGGTATCTGCAGCCCCATGTTTCACAGCAGCACTATTCACAGGCGTCAGCGCTGCAGCAACCTCGTGTCCTCGATGGTGAAGAAGATGTGCACGCAGCAGACGGTTATGCAGCCTTTAAGACAGAATGCCCGTGCTGCAGCAGGGAAGAACCTGGAGGACAGGATGCTAAGCAAAACAATCCAGTCACAAAAGGACAAATGCTACAGGATTCCGCTCAGAGGAAGGATCTAACGCAGTCAAAATCAGAGAAACAGAAAGTAGAAAAGCAGACAGCTGCCAAGGGCTGAGGGTGCAGGGAGGGGAGTTAGGGTTGAATGAGCATAGAGTCCTAGTGTTGCAAGATAAAAACTATCCAGAGATCTTTTGTACAACAACATGAACTGTACACTTAAACTTCCACCTCGCCTAGCGATCAAAGCCTCCTTCCCTCTGAACACCAGAGCTGAAACAAACAGAAAAAGAAAAGGAACAACTTAAATGACTGATCTCGGATGTAATCAACATAGAACAGTATTCATGAGATATTTTGCTTTTCTATTCATACTAAGCCTTCAAACCTATTCACATTACAGCACATCCCAACTGGGACATTTTCAGTGCTCAACAGCCACAGGCAGGCAGGGACAGCTCGGGCCCTGAAGAATAAGAAGGGAGGACAGAGAGAGTCCCAGCAGCAGAGAAGAGCCAAGTATCTATTTATAGCAGCCTCTCTCTCCCCTTCTCCATGTTGCACCTGTCACCCAGGCCTGTCCTGCTGGCTGCCTCTCCCATCTGCTCACTTTGCAGAATTCATTCCACTCTTACCTCAACTCGGCACATAATTTTTGCTTCAAGTATTTCAAGAGCTGCCTCCTCTCTGCCCTGCTCCCCGCCCCAAGGACACTCCCCAGGGCCAGGACCCACCTTTTAAACCCCCCAGACCTGATCTGATGACCTTGATCCACAGATTAAACCCTATGATGGGTCCCCCGTCCTCCAACTCAAGTCCAAATTGTAAGTGGCTTAAAAGACCCTGTGTGAAGGGCCCCTGTGCTCCTGTGTACTCCCTATATGTTCCTAAAATGGGGATAAAAACAGAAAAGTAATGGAGATAAAAACCAGCCTCACACCCAGCCACGGGGTGCTGCTCCCACCTCCCGACACCCTCAGGGACATTCACCTGGCTTCCAGGCGTCTTGGTGGAGGACACTCTCCTGTGACCCCCACAGCACTTGGGCGCCCCCTCCCTCATGCCTGGGGGCGGACGCAGGTCGGCATCGGTGGCACACAGCCTTTGCTGTGCCTTTCTGAAGAGGCTCGGAAGCTAATGTACATTTTCTAGACTCCTTCCCAGTGGGACTTAGATCCAATCAGATACACTCCCTGGAGACTGGAATGCTGACGGGGTTAGAGGCTGGAGGTGCAGAACGGAGCAAGGAGTGCGGCGGCCCCGTGTCTGAGCGAAGGCCCCGTGGCAGCCTCCCGGTTCAGCCTCGGGTCGGGCCCTGGGGCTGGTCCTGACCGGTGAGCCATCCCAGCAAGCTTGCTCCCCCAGGCCCTTCCCACCATCCCGTCGGCATCTACTTCCTGTACCAAATCGTTTTTGCATCCAACAGCTGAGTGACTTCTGTCTACGACTGACTCCAACAGACCCGTTTACTCATCTCTCCGCAGCACCCAATGGGAAATGCACAGACAACAGGCACAGCCTGGTCCCGACGGGGCACAAGGCCAGTGCCCGGCAGCATCCTGAGCAGACAGACAGAACTGAACACAGAAAAGGAATGGGGATAAAAACAGAAACGCTTTTCTAGAAGCCTTGATTCTTCCATCAGTCACAGGGAGAAGAGGTGATAAAAAGCAAAGAAACGACAGTGATCTACTCTGGCCCTCCAAAACAAAACAAACAAACGAGAAAGCGCGTCTGCAGAAGAAAATCGCCTCGCTCTCAGGTGCACAAGGAAAGCCGACCCGGAGCGGAGAAACTGGAACCCCGAGAGCCGTGTCCTGCTGCAGGGCAGGCAGTGGTGGAGCCAGCAGCCTGGGCCAGCCCCGGCCACGCTGCAGGGCCCTGGAGCCAGCCAGCGACCTCTCAGGGTGCAGCCTGTACCTCCATCCCAAAGGCCACACCTGTCTCCCCGTCGGCACCTTAAGCGTGTTCTTGTGTGAAAGCACTCTAAGCCAGGACAAATGACCAAGCTGCTTAATTTGAGTCAAGTCCTTTTGAAGGGGCAGAATCTTCCTGAGAATCACCCACAGGAACCAACACCGAAGGGAGCAGCCCCCCGGCCACACGAGAACCCACGACACAAACCATCTCGGCTCTCCTCGCTTTCCCCGCCCAGCAGCCAGGGAAACACTGACAACAGGAAAGCCCTCTGAAGCATGGCAATGTCATGCCACACCCCCTCCAATAAGGCCGGGGAGTCTCCTCATGCACTAAGTTACCTACTGGGCAAGAAAGGAGAAACCTGGAAGCTCACCGAAGCCACCTCAAAGCAGACGCAGGTCACACAGGTGAGTGACGAAGGTGAGGCTAGGTGAATGGCAGGCCTGTTCTCCCTCCACCTTCCCGGCTGCCTCTGCCTATAAGCTTTTCTCTTCTGGACACAGATGAATTAACATATCCCCAACATCCCCTTCTCTCATCTCCCACTCGGCCATCTTTCTTTTTTAGGCCACGGCTGCCCTTCAGGACTGTGGGGCGCGGTTACGGTGTTTTGGCCAGGTTCAAGCCTTGGACTAATGAGAGGACAGGGTCCTCTCATTGCCACGTGTAAGTCCCAGCTGGAGGGCAGGGCCCCCCACCCCCAGCACAATTATAGCCAACGGCTGTGGTTATAAGCTTGAACCTATGGTCCGAACACGTGGCCCCACGTCCCTTGTGATAGAGTTCGGGTGCATGTAGTTAAGTGAGGTTGAAACTCACGAGAATGCTGTAAACAACGTGATCACGCCCCTACTTTGCCTCGTGGCGTCTGCTATAAAATAAAGACACGGCTTGTGGGCGCTGGCGTTGTCTCCTCATCAGGGAGGCAGCGTCCCACCGAGACCCAGCTATTATTCTCTTGTCTGTTTTTCCTTAATCCTTTCACACACACACACCCCACCCCCACTTGGGATCACCCTTGGTCGTGCTGGCGTGGCACACAGGACAGTACTGTATTTCCATTACAAATGAAATGGTACTCAAACGATTTGCTTTGCACTACTGACTGCACTGCTCATTCACATATTTTTTTTCATTTACATATTTTAACAGCAAATGAAAAGCCTAAATTTCAACATCAGATAAATGGCTGCAAGAAACCAGCCTAGCATGAACGTCACAAATAAAATTGTACAAAATGAAGCTACTTCTGACTCCAACTGGTAGCAAGCAAAAATGAACACAGCAGCAGGAAGCTGGGTGTTCCCTGGATGAAGTGCTACTAAGTCACTCAGGGTCTTCTGATTCTTTCCCCAGGCATTTCAGAGAGGAGGTCATGTGCCCCTCACGTGCCTCCAGGGCCACTGTACGGCTTTGCGGCAGCCAGGGGTCAGGAGAGGACCCGAGATCTCAGTAAGTCTTCAGACCCAAAAGGACTGATCTGCCTTCCGACAACCAAGTAAAAGAATGAATGGAACATCCTGTGCCATCCTGAGACGCTAGTGCAGACCTGCACCAGCGACTCTCCGTTAGCTTTTGCCAAAAACTAGAACCTGAAGGCCTCTTTCTACTGGGGCCCCCTAAACACTTATTTTATACACACACACATATAAATCTAAAAAGAAAACAGCATTTGACTGCTGGCTGCGTAAAGGTTATTTATAACCACACACATTTGGCGGTTGACAATGTGACCTCAGGTTTCTGACAAAGACAGAGGCTGATTCCCTCGCCCCTTCCATCTGGGCTGGCCTCGGCCACACACTTCCAGCCACCGCAGAGGAGATGGCCCTGCCGACGACGAAACAGGTGCCATGGCTTTTACCCCGAAAACCCATGTCCACCCAGAACCTATACACGAACCTATGAAAAGCCTATTCAGAAATAGCCTATGCGGCTGTAATTAAGTTAAAGTCCCGAGGGTGGGTCCTAAATCGATGTGACTGAAGAGAACAGGCAAAGCTGCAGAGACGTGGAGGACACGCCCTGTGCAAACAGCGGCAGAGATCACAGGGATACAAGTGCAGGTCAAGTCACGTCAAAGGTGCCAACAGACGCCAGAAGCTGCAAGAAGCACAGGAAGGATCCTCCGATGGAGCCTCCTAGGTCCTGTGACACCCTGATTTGGGACTTCCAAGCCTCCAGACCTTGAAGGAGTTAATCTTCGTTGCTTTAAGCCACTCAATTTATGGTAATTTGTTATGGCAGACCTGGGAACGCATACACAGGTGACAGCTTCCTCCTGGCTCCCCCTCTCCCTCCCTCGCTCCCTCCCTCCCTGCTTGGCCTGGGAATCCAGCCTCCACAGTTAAAGGACAGCAAGTAGCCATGCGGAAAAGCCACACAGGTGCTTCGGCCCGGGCCCCACAGAGGCCTCTGGTCACTGGTCACCAGACACTAGTGAGGAGACCTTCTGCCCCCCGACTTCGAGGCACCCCAGACAGTGACACAGTGGAGTAGATTACACACAGCTGCCCCACGAAGCCCTCCCAAAAAGCAGACACCTGAGCAGCATACACGCTGTCTGTCATGGTTTTAAATCACTATGTTTTGGGGTAATTTGTTATGAAGCAGTAACACGTGTATGTGCACTCCTGTTCACCTGAATCAAATGTACATCTTCATGTCCAAAACCTAGTCACCTCAGCCAATCAGACGTCAAGGGAATCTACTACAGTTCCCTTCAGCAAACGTTTATGAAGAATTCTCTCTTATCTCGAATTATACTCCTGGTTTTCTATCACTGAAGTGGTTGCCTCAACACCCCTGAAATAACAATGCATAATAAGCCAAGAGTTTCCAGGTCTTTTTAAATGATGTGCAAACTAGATGTGTTCAAATGTATGTATCATTTAAAGAGCCCCCTTTACATTCTATAATTTTCATGGCATACGCACATTTATAAAAGCTTGAATATAACAGTGATTTAGAAAAGCTTAGATGCAATCTATTTTTGTTTAAAGGGGGTGAGTGCTTCTCAGTAGTTAATCTCTGAGTGATGGAACTGCAGGTGATTTTAAATTTCTTTTTTGTATTTTCAAAACTGTCTATAATATTTTGATAATTGAGAAAGACAACTTTTTTGAAAGTTATTTAAGGTTAACTTCTACACAATCATTTCTGTTGCAAAAGAAAGCTGTATAACTCTTTTTATATACAACTATATGAGGGTTTCCACCAAGTTGTAGCAATACAATATGAACTCAAATAATTGCATTTATGTATCAAGCCACCATAAACATACCTAATTCTGCAACAGATAAGGAGGCAAAAAAAAGAAAAACAGAATGACAGTTCAATTCCCAAGATCAGCTGAGGCCTCAAAATCAAATGGTTTTTTTTTTAACTTAAAATCCAGCATCCTTGAGTCCCCTACTCTCTTTGTATTTTCCCAATTGATCCCTCATGCAACCTTTCCAATCATCCGATATAAAGAGCACAAATATTACTCTTCTTGAGACACAAATCCAGCACAGGCCCGGCTCACAGCAGGGACTTTGAGGACAGTAAGAAAAAAAGCCAACGGGAGAAAAAGGAACCCTCGTGCACTGCTGGTGGGAATGCAGACTGGTGCAGCCACTGTGGAAAACAATATGGCGTTTCCTCAAAAAGTTAAAAATGAAACTCCCATTTGACCCAGTGATCCCACTTCTAGGAATATATCCCAAGAAAACAGAAACACCCACCAGAAAGGATATATGCACCCCTATGTTCATAGCAGCACAATTTACAATAGCTAAGATTTGGAAACAGCCTAAGTGCCCATCAACAGATGAGTGGATTAAAAACCGTGATACATCTACACAATGGAATACTATGCTGCTATAAAAAATAAGGAAGTTTTACCATTTGCAACAGCATGGATGGATCTGGAAAGCATTAGGCTAAGCAAAACAAGCCAGTCGGAAAAAGATAAATATCACATGATCTCACTCATATGTGGGATATAATGAACAACATAAACTGATGAACAAAAATAGATCCAGAAACAAACACCAAACAGACCGTCCAAGCTCAGAGGGAAGGGGTGGGGGGAATAAGAGATCAACCAAAGGACTTGTATGCATACATATTAGCGTAACCAACGGACACGGACAGTGGGGCGGTGGGGGCTTGTCCTGGGGGGTGGGAGTGGCCTGGGAGGGGTCAATTGGGGGAAAAAGGAGACATATGCAATATTTTAAACAATAAAAAAAAGATTAAAAAAATAATAATAAAGCCAACAGTCGGATAATCTGATGCTAAGATAGTTCTTTTCATTTCTCTCATTTATCCCCATTGCAAAGGGTTTTACAAGAAGCCCAACCAGACGGGGAGATACCCAGAGCTTCATCAAGAGGCTAATCTCGGTTAATTCCAGGGACACACACACCGCTCCCCCTCCCATGGAGAAGAGCTGCCCAGCGTGGAAGCTGGTGTCTAGGACCCAAGCCGGCCTTGCCTTTTCATCCTGGTGTAACCTGTTGACGCTCTCCATCTGGAAGTTGTGGCTGGACTGGATTTTGTCCAGCTGCTCCCGCTGCTTCTCCAGCTCCCCCTGGAACTCGTTCTTCTTCAGCTCCACCGCGCCTCTCTCGGCGGCCGCCCTGCGGACCCTGCCTTCCAGCTCCATGATCCGCGTCTACAAGGACACCACAGTGTGAGGGCAAATGTCAGGCCCTCCCTGGAGACCAGACCACCTGCAAAAAGACAACCCGGGGCCCAAAGCCAGCAGCAAGCCTTCACCCACAGGCTGTGCCCAAGGCTCAATCTGCAGCCACCTGTGTAGAAGCTACAGCGGTTTTTCTACAAGCAACGGAATTCCTGCTATGAGCTTCCCTGACTCCACTGCACGTCTCCATGGAAACACCACCACACCCAGCACAGGGATTTTGTGAGCTTTAAATAAATACATAAAATGCCTCATGCTTTACCAGGTGTGAGATGCTGCTCAAGTATTTAGTTCCTTTTCCCCACTTACGTCGTTAAGGGCACTTAACGACTCCTTATCAGACAAGATTTCTAAAAAGAGACTCAGTTCTCCAACCCGGGATGCCCAGAGCCCATCTGTGCAGAGAACATGGCTCAGACAAAGGCTCTAGACCCCTGGAGGCTAAGCAGGAGGAGGACAAAACACTCAGGGGCAACGAAGTTCCAGGGCTAAGAGCCCAAGCTCTGACGTCAGACAGACTGGGTTGGAATCCCAGCCCCCCAGGTACTTTACCTCTCTGGGCCTCAGTTTGCCTACCTGTGAAATGGGAAGAATAAAGTCCCAACCTTGTAGAGTTGTGTACAAAAGATGATGATGTATACAATCCACTGTTAAATAAAACTATTCTGATGCTTATTAACACAGTAGGGAAAATTGTATTCGAGACTACCCCACAGGGTCATGACCTGGGGGGGCGGGGGGAGCAGAGAAACCATGCTCAACTCTGAATACAGCAAAGACAGCAGCGGATTGATAGCCAAAGAACAGACTGAGGCGGTCAAGACGTGGAAAAGTATCAGAAGGAGACATCTTGCTAGATGTGGATTCTTGCTAAGTGGCTAACAGGATTCTCACTAAAGGCAGACTGAGGGCTTAGAGAATGAGGGAGGAGGAGCTGGGTCCGATATGGAGGCACATGCAGAGCCTGCACTGGAATTACAAGGAGCACACACGTTGAACAATGCCTCAGGGGACGATAAATGCAAGCCAAACCCCTCAGGCCCCACCACCCAGCAACGTGAAATACTCTATGGCAGCCACACAAACAAAACTGAACAAGCAAAATACCTGGAGATCCACGCTCCGGGAGCTTGCAATCCAGTAGTTGAAGCCCAGGACGATGATACAGGCCACCAGCGCAGCCAGCACAAAGGGCGGCGACTTCATGGTCCGACGCCCGTTTCCCAGTCCCATCATCTCATAGGCCAGGCTGAGAATCTGCCAAATAAACACAGAGATAAACAAGCGTCAATATTAGTACTCCACGGCCGACGCAGGCCACGTCCACTGTCACAACCAAGCGGAAGGCGTCCTGCCCCAAAGCACAACTGGCGTCCTCTCCTTGAAACGCGGAGCTGTGGAGGGAGAGCAGGCGGGCAGCACCGCAGCGGGCAGCGTGGCTGGCCCCCGGGCTTGCTCACGGACCTCGGCAAGTGACCATTTCTCTCAGGCTCCCGTTCCCTCTGCTGTAAAATGCGGATGGAATCACTAAGGGCACCAGCCAACGTGTTTCCTGAGCAACGGGGCGTGTGAGGCGTGTGACCTGCACGGTGTAAGTCCCGGGACAGGCAGGGCCTGCGGGCAGGAATGAGGCGGGCACCAGCTTCCGAGCTCCTCTCCCTTCCCGGTGGGACCACAGCACGCGGAGCGCACTGCACGTCCAAGGAACGGAGGCTTGGAGAGCTGCAGAGGGCACCGCGTTCTTAAAAGAAACAGACTCGGCTGACAAGAAAGGAGCCATCCATTTGGTTCACGGACTTCAACCCAACGCCAGGTCTGGCTGGATGCCAGCACTGGGCACCAGGGACAAGGAAAAGTTGACTTTGCCAAAAGGCTTCTGCTGAGCCAGATAAAGCAGGACCTTATCAGAGGGAGGGCAATGAGCAGTAACTGCTTCTATGCCAGGTGGGGCCAGCAATGGAGGAGGGAGAGGGAGGAGGGAGGAGGGGTGAGGAGGACAGGGGGGAGGGGGAAAGACCACCAGGGACTCACCTTTGAGGTCAAGGTCCTGAGAGTGAGAGCACAGGAGAGCTGACGGGGCCTTCTTACCCTACGGTATTTCTAAGAGCGTCACTGGGAGATGTCCCCCTTCTTAATACAGGCAGACCTTATTTTATTGCTGGTCTGCTTCCTGAAGTGCATAGGTGTTGCCTTTTTAACAAATGGAAGGCAAGGCCCTCCACCGGCAAAAAGATGATGACTCGCTTACTTACACGACTCGCTTTACAGCGGCGGCCTGGACCTGAGGTGCGCCTGTGCAGACACCTGGGCCCCACGCCTCCGCCTCTAATCCCGACCGTGCTTCAGGCAGGGCCCAGGTGATGGTGCTTTATCATCTCCCCAGGTCATTCTCACGAGCAGCCACGTTTCTCGACCTCATTCTCGATGTTTCTGGGTGCGTTTACAAGCAAACAAGCTCACCGCGTGGTGCTGGACATGTCCTGAATCGATCAGCGACACATCCTGTTACCCTTTCCTGGCAGCACATGACAGTCTGCCCCATTCTTTCTAAAGGGCTGCCTCGGGCACCTCTGTGAACCAGGACTGACTTAGCCAACCTCCTGCCAAGGGCCAGCGGGCTTTTCCAGGCTCATTTCCAACAACGCTGCCACGAGCACTCTTCCGCATCTGCATCTGTGTTTGCAATCTCGTATGCAGGTGTACAATCCCTCACCCACAATTCTGAACTCCAAAATGCTCTAAAACCCCAAAGGGATTTTTCATCACTCACCCGGCAACAGAACCTGACCTGAAATCAGATCAAGGTCTGGCCAGAACTCACCTGAAGCCACTAAAAAATTGTCTTTACCTTCCTCCAGTCATGTGACTATTCATACCTCGCGCTGCAGAAAGATCAGTGTTTGACTACGGGGTGCTGCTGCAGAGCTGCCACATAACATATAATAAATGCGTCTTACTAGCTTCTGAGTTCTGAAAGAACTCAGAATTCCAAATACCTCCGGCCTCCACGGGTTCTGGGAAGGGAGGGGGAGCCAGCAGGGAGCTCATTACGTGGGAGGCACTGACCAAGCGCTTCTAATAGGGCCTCGCTGAATCCCCCGTCAGTGCGAGGGGCCGAGGGGTCCTGTCACCCCCTGCTGCAGACAGCGGTGGATAAACTTCGGTAAGTGGAATTGCTGGGCCTAAATATATGTGTTTAACACTGACGGCTCTTAGCTCCTTTAAAATATTTAACAAATTACGAAAGGAAAACAATACCTTTATACTGGAGAATCCTAACAGACTCCCCCTTCTGTCAACATCACGGACCGCCTGATATGATGCACCCGGAGAAAAATTCTGAGGAACTCAATTGAAGAACATCCTATAAAACTCTGACTAGCACTCTTCAAATCTCTCAAGATCGTGAAAAATAAAGACTAAGGAACTGCCACAGACTTAATAATAACTACAGTCATGAGAACTCAGTGCAAGATGGGATCCTGCACTGGACCCTAGAACAGAAAAAAGACCATCAGGGAGAAAAACCGGTGAAATTCAAATAAATTAAGTACTTTGGATAAGATAGTGCCAAGGTTAATGTCTTAATTTTGATAACCTCTCCGAGTATGTAAGAGGGTAACATAAGAAGATGGGTGAAATATACTAGTATATGGTAACCACCTGTACTATTTTTGCAACTCTTTCATAAATTAAATTTCTAATAATGTTTTGAGAAATCTTACCATGTTGGCTTCCAAATTATTTCCAATAATTTACCCTCCCACCACCTGTAGGAGAATATCTGTTTTCTCACATAACAACACACAAACTTTTTAATGTCTGGTAATCTCATTCATAGTAATATTTTTAAAATACACTTCCTTAGTTATGAGCATAAATGAACACCTGTTCATTCACTGGCCATGTGTATGTTCATTTTGGTGAAATACCTTTCCATGGTCTTTGCCCACTTTAAACTGCAGTGTTCATCTTATTGATTTTTAAGAGCTCTTTGTATATTAAAGATAAACTAATTTTTGGTCTTATATAATTTTTTTCTCAAATTTTCATTTGTTCTTTGACTTTGTGAAATTATCTGTCCATAGTTTTTGGCTGTTGGTGGTATTTTTAAAATAACCTAATCTTGTCCATCTTTTATTGCTTCTGGATTTTTCAGATTTAGAAAGACATTTCCTACTCTGAGCTTCAAAATATATTTACCCATATACCATATCTCCTCTCAACATATCTGTGATTTCATATTTACATTTAAACTAGGGGCCCAGTGCACGAATTCATTCACCAGTGGGGTCCCTTGGCCTGGCCTGCGGATTCTAGCCGAAACCGGCTCTCCAACATCCCCCGAGGGGTCTCGGATTGCGAGAGGGTGCTGGCCAGGCCAAGGGATCCCAGCGGTGCACCATTCTCCAGAGCATTATCTTAATTCCTTGAGATTCTGTTTTCCAGTAATTGTCAACAGTTTGGCTCAAATAAGCTCCCAGAAATTATTTACAGGTTTGAATGTTTATGTTAACACCAGGAAGGTGTGCAGCTGCCCAGAGGGCACAGTCAGGAGAGCCTGGGCACCAGATGGACATAGGCAGCCCAGGTTAGAAGGGGCCCATGAGGAAGGAAGGGCCAGCACCCCTGCTTCCGGCCTGCGGGTGCTCCACCACGGACTTCTGGGACTGTGGTAACCACTGCTGCGGAACAGAAGGGACAGACACAGGTGAGAAATGACAAAGACCGAGAGGACTTCAGGCAGGAATTCAGGGCCAGAGTTTACAGTCGTCAAATACAATAAACAATCTCCTATGCCCACCTTAAATATCCGTGCACGGAGGAGGCGATGAAAGTGGATGGGAGATATGCTGATATTAATGTTCACTGACATTTAGGCTTCAGGTTGTGTCTTGACTCGTATTTGATTACCGGTATCCGGACATACCAAAAAAATGATTAACCTTGATTTACTAACCCCTGCGACCCCCGGCTCCCCTGCAGTGAAAGTTGTGTGTTTCTGCACTGAAAGTCTCTGGGTAAATTGGAGAAGTCACATAAACACTGCAGATTCTTTCTTACTGGCTTAATTTTTAAAATTTGGTCTAAATTTGGTTAAAATTATTGTTGGCTTATAAAACAAAAATTCTTTTTTTAAAAAAATATATTTTATTGAATTTTTACAGAGAAGAAAGGAGAGGGATAGAGAGTTAGAAACATCGATGAGAGAGATCGATCAGCTGCCTCCTGCACGCCCCCCAGTAGGGATGTGCCCGCAACCAAGGCACATGCCCTTGACCGGAATCGAACCTGGGACCCTTGAGTTCGCAGGCCGACGCTCTATCCACTGAGCCAAACCGGTTCGGCAACAAAAATTCTTATAAGAGAACAGAGACCTCTTCTTTTTTTTTTTTTTTTAAGAAAAAGTATATGAAAATGGGCAACCTGCCAAATGCATCAGCCCCTTGAACCTCCTAGTGAAATACTTTTCCTCCCACTTCCTTATTTTCCCAGAAGGGTTTTTAATCATATGGGCAAACAGAAAGGAGCAAGCAGATCAGGTTAGCTGTTTGACCCTCGTCACCAAGGCGGGACAACTCGGCTTCTCTGCGCAGTAAGAGGGGGTGGGGGGCGGGGTGCACCTTTGTTCTTTTTCAGGAAACGGCCTCCCCTGGAGGTTCAGAAGTCACTGTGTGAGAAAACAGACCTGAGACTACTCCCAGAGGCTGGTGAAGTACGTAGTCACCAACACAGTTTTGAGAGTTTAAAATTATTCTCCCCTGTCCCAAGAATGTCTCCAAGTCAGGTCAGCAAACCGAGGCCCAGGAGCCACCGCTGGCCTGTGTTGTAAATGTAGTTTCACGGACACAGCCATGCCCATTCCTTCAAGTATTGCTCACGGCTGCTTCCTGGCTGCCAGGCAGAGGTTGAATGGTTGAGACAGAGATCTCTCAGGGTTAGTATGAGGATTAAACCAGTTAAAAGTATTTGTTATCTGGACCTTTAGGGCAAGTTTGTCAATGTCGGCTCCAAACTATGAGGGTTAATAACCAAGTCCATTGTGTTCTCCTTACATTACTTTAAAAACGTACACAGAATCTCCTCCTCTCACTTTCCAGTCCACAATCCTATATAATAAAAGGCTAATATGCAAATCAACTGAACAGTGGAATAACCGGTCGCTATGACGTGCACTGACCACCAGGAGGCAGATGCACAACGCAGGAGCTGTCCCCTGGTGGTCAGTGTGCTCCACAGGGGGAGCGCCACTCAGCCAGAAGCCCAGAAGCCGGGCTCATGGCTGGCGAGTGCAGCAGTGGTGGCGGGAGCCTCTCCTGCCTCTGCGGCAGCGCTAAGGATGT